TCATCAAGGCAGAAACACCTTGGCAGCTTATGAACATAGCAGTGCCATATTATATAATGTGCTTTGTAAAACATAGGTCAAAAAAATCTATTTAGGGAGACAGAAACCCACCATGATCAAGTCAATGTTTTAAAGAAAATTTAACATTTACATTAAAAGTAAATAAAAGGGATCCCTGGGTGGCGCAGCGGTTTGGCGCCTGCCTTTGGCCCAGGGCGCGATCCTGGAGACCCGGGATCGAATCCCACGTCGGGCTCCCGGTGCATGGAGCCTGCTTCTCCCTCTGACTATGTCTCTGCGCCTCTCTCTCTCTCTCTCTGTGTGGCTATCATAAATGAATAAAAAAATTTTAAAAAAAAGTAAATAAAAGCTGAACCATATCCAGACCATATCTATGCTTCACTTGCAAGTTATTATTAACCTTAAGTTATAGGTTCACCCTATAAGCAACTCAGAAAGACAGACTTTTTTTTATGAAATGCACAGTGACATGTTGGGTTTCAAGAGATCTGAAGGTCTTTTCATCTGTCACCTTCAACAGGCTTATTCAGAAATTTATTTATTTATTTATTTATTTATTTATTTATTTATTTATTTATTATTTATTTATTTTGTCCCTTCCTTATAACTAATTAACCATATGTTTTGGGGTCATGAGATGCCATGATGCAGATCACATGCCTTTTCTGTCCACGGATTATTTGAACTCAACCAAAGCTATTTCAGATCTATTGTTGAAAATAACAGTTCTCGTCAATCTGTATTGCATATAACAGCTGCTGAGTTGTGACTATATCATTGGATATAGTTTGAATAACACCAGAGTATGTTGAACCATGAGAAATCCAAACCAATGAATAATTTTTTTGAATAAATTCTTTTGACAGCTCTGACAATCCAAAACAAATCTTGACCAAGCTTCTTAATGACATCCCACACATGGAAAAATAAGTTAATTTTACTAAATAAATAAGTGTCCAGTCATTAAATCCACTCTGGATTTTTGGTTCAATTTCAAATTGTTCATACTAGTATGTAGCAATACAATAGATTTTTACATTTTGACCTAGTATCTTCTGACCTTGCTAACCTCGATTTTTTAAGTGTAATAGCTTTTTTTGTAGGTTCTATGTACACTTTTCATAAACAATCATGCTAATCTATAAATAGATTTTACTCATTTCTCTCCAATCTGTATAGCATTTATTTATTCACCTATTTACTTCCCTTGTTGCACTGGTTAGGACCTTCAGCATAATGTAAAATTGAAGTGAGATGAGAATAAGCATTCTCATCTTTCCTCTCCCCTAATCTTAAGGGGAAAGAATTCAGTCTTTCACAATGAAATATTATGTTAATCTATTTGGGGGTTGGGGAGGAGGGGAGAAGATCCCTTTATTGAGTTGAGAAAGTAAGCTTTTATTTCTAGTTTGTCGAGAATTTTATCATGAATGGATGTTGAGTTTTGTCAAATGCTTATTCTGATAAATATGATCATATGGATTTTCTTCTTTAATTATTGATATCCTGATTGCATGGATTTTGAATACTGAACCAACCTTGCTTTTCCAAGATAAGTCCCATACAACATTTTCTTAAAATTGTTGATTTTAATTTGATTACATTTCACTGAGGATTTTTTTTTTAAAGATTTTATTTATTTATTCATGAGAGACACACAGAGAGAAGGAGGCAGAGACATAGGCAGAGGGAGAAGCAAGCTCCTTGTGGGAAGCTTAATGCAAGACTCAATCTTAGGACCCCAGGATCATGACCTGAGTCAAAGGCAGATGCTCAACCACTGAGCTACCCACGCATCCCTCACTGAGGATTTTTATATCTGTTTTCATGAGAGATAACAGGCTTTGTTTTCTGTTTGTTTGCTTGCTTTGTTTTTTACCTATAATGTCTTTAGCTGGTTCTGTTAAAAGGTTCTGGCTTTATAAGATGAATCTAGAAGTTTTCAGTCCTCTTCTGTGGTCTCAAAGAATTTGTGTAGAATTGATATTTCTTTCTTGAATATTTGGTATATCAAGTCCACTCCACTGAACATACTTTAAAGTCAGCAATTTCATGTAAACCAATACCATTCACACCTTAACTAGGAATCCTTGATGTTTTAAAGAAGTTACTTCTCAAATTGACTTTTGGATTTAATTTAACCTAAATTGTAAGAGTGTTTTACAAGGAATTTGATAAGTTGATTCTAAGTTTATGTGGAAGAACAAAAAATAAAGTGTTGCTGAAGGATAAAAAGATGATATAATAAACCCCCATGAAACATCAATGCTTATTATAAAGCTATAATAATAAAGACAGTATGGGATGGGCTAGGATAGACAAATTGGCCAACATATTAACTAAACCAAGAGGCCAGAAACAAACCAGTACATATAAGGGTATGAGAATATGAGACAAATGAGAGATATGTGTTATAACTCCCTGAAGAAAGGTTTAGCCTTTAAAAAACAAAAAAGTAGTCTACCTTTTCCCTTGTTTGCATATACACTCTCTCAAATAAATAAACACAATCTTAAAAAAAAAAAGAGAGAAAATCCTAAGAGTTCTCACCACAAGGAGAATGTTTTAATTTTTCTTTTCCTCTTCCTTTTCTGTTTATTGTATCAATATGAGAAGATGAATATTAGCTGAACCTATTGTGGTAATGATTTCACAAAATAAGTAAATAAAACCATCATGCTGTATATCTTAAGCTTATGCAGTGATGTATGGTAATTAATTCTCAGTTAAACTGGGAAAAAATTTCTGTTAATCAAAAAACATGAAGTAAAAATATAGACTAAACTGAGACAAGTTACTTGTAGCACAAAGCCACCAAAGGAATAGTATAGTTATAATATAAAAGACTGTAAATTGGTATGTAAAAGATAAGCAATAGAAAAATCAGCAAATAAAAGACATTCCACAGAAGAGGGACTATAAACGTAAATAAATGGAAAATAAAATGCACAGCATCAGTAGAATTCGCATCATTTCAAACTAAGACAGAGAGTGAGATACCATTTTATACCCACTATATTGGAAAACTAAGAAGTCTTATACTACCAAGCAGTAGAGGGTAATGTGGATCAAGAGGATCTCATATACATTACTTGTGGGAAGGTAAATTGTTATGATCATTTTGAAAAATAATTGGGTACTACCATGTAAGTGAAAAATTTTTGTGCCATAACATTTTTATGCCTTTTATGCCATACTAACTCCACTCCTAGGGAAATGTTTGCATAAGTTTACCAAATGATATATACAAGAATCTTCAGAGTAGTATTATTTATAATTGCAAAACAACAGAAACCGAAATGTAGTTCATCATCAGAAAAATGAAGAAATCATGTTATGCTCTGTAAAATTCTATTAAATAAACTTACATGCAAAATAATGAATGAACTGTAGAAGTATAATATTGATAAAATAAGCCCCAAAAGACTATGTATAATATGATAACATTTTTATAACGTTCAACTATTTAGGGATTCATACACAGTAGGAAACTTTTTTATAACGAAGTAATGATAAGCAATGTTGAGCACAGTGTTTTTAGGTAAAGCAAGGAATTGTGATAGAGTAGCATATGAACCTTCAGTGATTCTGGTTCCATACCAGAGCATTTTATAATTACAATTTACATTATTTACATATATATCCTTTGGCTTATATCGATTATGTAATTTAATAGTTTTTAAAGATTAAATAAGGTTGCGTATGTGTGTATGTGTATAATTTTAAACTGCTTAGTTGTTATCACTATACATGATTTAATCCTATGCAAGGGGAATGAGCAAATGGCCAGATTTCCTGGATTCCTCCAATTCTATACACTGAGTGATGAGAGAAAGAAGTTTCATCTGGATTAAGGGCTCAAGACCACAATATATTTCACTCTAGTGCTATACCATTTCTGCCTGAAGCCCCTATCCCTCAGCCTGTCACTAGCTTAATAGGCTGGGGAAAGAAAAAGTCCAAGAGAAAGCTTTATCACCACATAATGAGTTCAGTTTTTTTTTTGTCTCCTCACTCCTCTTCAAAAAAGAGAAGCAAACAGAAGACCAAATCAGTTACAAATCCTGAACATAAATATGCCAGAGGCCTTCCATAATCCTACAACCTATCCATTATCTTCTTTTGGAAGAAAATAAAATCAAATAAAAGGGAATAAAAGGGGAACAGAAAGAAACAATGCCTGACTGGTTGCCGAAATTATTCTATTTTTGACCCACTGAAGCTCAAGTCACATTTTTAGCTTTCAGATAAACTTGTACAAAAACTGGATCCAGGTCAAATATATTTCCTCTTATAAGATAATTTTTTAAAACTTCCCATTTTTCTAGAAATACTTTGGGTAATCTATTGACTTCTTTCTGTGGTCCAATTAATCTAGCACTATATACATTGCAGATCATTTGTCAAGTAGTGTGAAGCAGCCATTCCCAAGACATATTCTTGCCATGCCCTTGCCAAAACAAGTAGAAGCCTCCCTGAGCCTATCATAATTCATACTTTAAAAACTTCCATCCATATCAACTGTATGATTGTGGAAATCTCAATTAGCATATGATGGTTTCAACAAATTGAAGAAAATCTTATAAGAATCCATGAGAGATGTCTCTACTACCTATTGAAGCCATAAGCCACCTGTTTAGGGTTAGAGCAGAGACAGAACACAGAACAATTAAAGGTAACTCAAGGGGCACCTTTAAAAAAAATCTTTAAAAAAGAAAGGTAACTCAATTATATGCTTATATCATTCAAACATAATTAGGTGATATATTCCAAAGTAACACTTATTTAAAAACTTCCTTCCTTTGCCCATAAGTTTTCATCATATGCTACCTATAATTTTATTCTAATTTCTCTCTAAAAAATGTGAGAGAAAGAAAAACATGTTAAAAATTCTTCTGGGCACCTTGAATCAGCCTTGTTCTCCACCTTCTCTTTCTTTCACTCTCTGTTAGGTAGATGCTCCCAAAGAGAATGGGATGAGGCACTGTTTGTGGTCTGTTAGGCTGGCTACAGCTAACAGGCTCCATTCTAGTGCAATAGTAGCTCCAGTGGCACAGGGCTGGGTGATTGTGGCTCTCAGTTTCAGGTCCTAGGGATGCAGGACCTGGAAAATTAAAAAAAAAAAGACCTTTTTTAAATAAAAATAAATTTTATTTTTTATTTTTTTAAAGATTTTATTTATTTATTCATGAGAAACACAGAGAGAGAGAGAGAGAGAGAGAGGCAGAGACACAGGCAGAGGGAGAAGCAGGCTCCATGCAGGGAGCCTGACGTGGGACTCGATCCCAGGTCTCCAGGATCATACCCCGGGCTGCAGGTGGTGCTAAATCGCTGTGCCACCAATAAAAATAAATTTAAAAAAATTTTTAAGGGAAGGAGAGGGAAAAATCTGGTTTCATAAAGCCAGAATCATCCCTATTGGTTTGTGAAAGAGGAAGGACTGTGGAAAAATTTTAAGTTAATAATTTTTTACTAAAACTATATGAATCATTCTATATATCTGTGCAATCTGAGCCACCTTTATCTTAACCAGTGGTTCTCAATTAAAAACACTTAAGGGGCTATGATTTTAAAAATTTAAGGGGCATCTGGGTGGCTCAGTCAGTTAAGCATCTCCCTTTAGCTCAGGTTGTGATCTCAGGATCCTGGGAATCAATCCCATGCTGGGCTCCCTGCTCAGTGGGAAGTCTGCTTCTCCGTCTCCTTCTGCCCCTCCTCTCTGTTCACACATCTGCTCTCTCTCTCTCTCTCTTAAATATTTTTTAAAAAACGATAAAAAATTAAACATTTAAGGAACTTTTATTCTTCCTTCACTACTGAGGGATAATTTTGTTGGATATAGAATTCTAGATTAGTGAGTTTTTCTTTTCTTTTAAGATTGTATTTATTTATTCATGAGAGACACAAAGAGAGAGGCAGAGACATAGGCAGAGGGAGAAGCAGGCTCCCTGTGGAGAGCCTGATGCAGGACTGGATGTCAGGACCCCAGGATCGTGACCTGAACCAAAGGCAGATGCTCAACCACTGAGCCACCCAGGTACCCCATGAGTTTTTCTTTCAACACTTTAAATAATTCATTCCACTTTGTCCTTGCTTGCATGGTTTTTGATGAGAAGTCTGCTGTAATTCTTATCCTGTTTCTCCATAGGTAAAGTGTTTCATTCCCTGTGACTTAACATTTTCTTTCAGCCTTTGAAGTTTGAATAGGATTTGCCCGTGTGTGTGTGTGTGTGTGTGTGTTTGTGTGTGTGTGTGTGTGTGTGTGTGTGTGAGAGAGAGAGAGAGAGAGAGAGAGAGAGATCCTGCTTGGCTGTACTCTCTAGATTCATCAATCTCTCTACATTTAGGGAGAGTGGTTTTCCCTATGACTTCAGTTTTCTGATAAGTTCAACAAAAATCATTGATTTTTAGTTTATTCCATTATTTTTCTTATAAGGACAGGAATGATGACTTATAAGCTCTTTACATGTCAAAACTAAAGCCAGAAGTCTTAGGGGGCTTTTAAAATTCAATTGAACTGGGTTGTTGAAAGGAATTTGTGTTTTTTACTCTCTGGAATGATTATAATATGTAGCCAGTATTAACAGCCTCTTCCCTTAGACCTTTAGATCTTAAAACATTTCTAAATTATGTCACTATTCAAGTCTCTTAATAAGAGATAATGTGAAATACCCTATTTATAATTTTCTTTCTGACGAATATCACATGGTATATCTATTTAATAGCATTTTTCTATGATGATCATTAAAAATGTGAGACCACAACTGTGACACTTCTGGGCTTAATCCTGCATGTCAGAACCAAGCTGCCACTTTTACTTAACATGATCATCTATCATTTCCTAAAATTTCACTCACCTGGGACAAATCACTCCTGACCAGTCATTTTTTACATACTTACCCTTGCTATTACCCTAGAGAACTCTAAAATCCATATCAAAAAAACCCACCAGAATTCCTAGTTTTATAGATCCTGAAGTTCTAAGAACTTTACTTCTACTCCTCTTAAATAGCCAACCACATGGTTGCTCTCTATCTTACCTGACCTGAATAATACTGTCATAATACTCTTATGGCATCTCTTCTCTTTGACTATTGCTTCTTATTCTCCCTCATTGGGTTTTCTTCTTCTATTCTCCCCTAATTGTGTCTTTCAGTGTTGCTTTCTTCCATTCTTCTTTGTTTTCTAAACACTTCCCATAAGTAATTTTATCAAACATTTTGACTTCAATTATCATCCATCAACAAAACCAAAGAACTGTGCCTCCACTTTCCCCAAGAAAACATGTTTAAAAGTAGATATCTATAGTTTGGTTGTATATATTTTATATATTTCATAATTTGAAGGTACATAGTTGGAATCTTTTTCATTTTTCAATTACATACAATAATTCAAAACATATTCTTTTGGAAAAAGTTTCAAATAGCCATCAAATTTAAAAAGAGCCTCCACAAGAAAAAACTTAGCATCAGTAGTCTAGGCAAATGATATGTCATTTCTAACTGATCGACTGAATTTTAATCATCTACGTGTTGCTCCATGCAAACATAAGAGGTGATATTCATTAACTGAGGAGAATTACAATTGTCATCAATTACTTGCTGCTTTACTTTCTGTGTAAAGGTCTAGTCTCTTGAACTATACAGTAATATCTTCCCCCTCTGTAGAAAGACTTAGGTGTTTCACTTCTTTAGGATAATACATCCAGAATAATGAAACTCAAACAAGGTTAGCAACAAGGTTCTGGGACCTTGTCACCCTCTGAATTTAGAAATCATCCAGATGATTCTGTTACAAACCAGAGTAGCTCCGTCTGGTCCAATGTTGAAGATCTAGTAGTGATTGATAGGTATTTGTTAATTGATTGATGTCTATCTGATACAGCGAGAAATTTGACTCCACATTTAATATATAGAAAAAGGGAATCCCTGGATGGCTCAGTGGTTTAGCATCTGCCTTTGGCCCAGGGCATGATCCTGGAGACCTGGGATCTAGTCCCATGTCAGGTTCCCTGCATGGAGCCTGCTTCTCCCTCTGCCTGTGTTTCTGCCTCTCTCTCTCTCCCTCCCCCCCCCTCTCTGTGTGTGTGTGTCTTTCATGAATAAATAAATAAAATCTTTAAAATGATAATAATATATAGAAAAAGATGACATTTTTCTAATATGTAAGAAAGTTACCTTGTTGTTTTGTTTTGCTTGTGCTTTTATTTCCTCTTTAGCAATTTGACTTTGGATGCAAACAGGATAACTTTCTTGCGTTAATGGAGTTATCATCCCTCAATTTTCTTTGAAACAAGAAGCTAAGAATTATTATATGAACATATGATCACTAAACTCTCCAAAAATTCTCATTAGTTCATAGGATATTTCCCTTTTTATAAAATAAAAATTATTTACTTATGGTTATTCAGCATACATCAGATTATCTGTCATCTATAACCTTCTACTATGACCCCTTTCCATTTTTTCCAAGTAAGCAGTAACATTTCCATCATTAAATATCATTTAAATCATGATTGTATCTAAAGAAAATAATTTCTTTTTTTTAGAAAATAATTTCAAATATGGGACAACATAAAATCTAGATTCCAGCACCAATCATATACCATACTTAACTAGAGGACACATAATTTGAGGAGTGAGATGTAACACAGCATTAAATTAGCCCCTCAGCACAGTAAGATATTTAGTAGGCCATTATTTTCACAGTTCATCACAATGAGTAGCTTTGCCATATTTGCTTTATAGGGAACATTTTATCCACCCCATAAAAATCTTTTTTCCCCATCTCTTCTTCTTTAAGCAACGGTTGATAATCAGACATTGAATTTTAATAAGTGTAAGAATATCCTAGTCACTGAGATTAGAAGCTTTCCTTTGCAAGATTCCATTATTGCTTCAGGAAAACTTCTCTAACACTCTCCAGCATAATATATTGTTACTGCTTTGACTTTCATTCCCAAATAACTCCATTAATTACCAACAACCAGACTTCACTTCCTTACGATGTTTTGTGCACCTGGTTTGCAGACAGGATGTAGTAACAGAAGCCGACACAGCACACCCAGACCGCAGTACAGGCCAGAATGTTGGCTACTCTCAACTAATTTTATGTGTCTGTGGAAAACAGAGCTTTGGATTTCAACCAGCTGAAATTACTGTTTGCTATTTTTCTATTCAACACCAACATTTTCTGTACAAAATCAGAACAAGGAAAGTTAATTTTCAAGATGGTGATCAAGTCATCTTTTACTTGCAGACCTATTCAAATAACTATGGATTCACATGTTGAAATAGAAACCTTGTGAATCAAAGCCTTCCAATAATTTGGGTCTTTGTCATTGACTTTGCATATTACAGCATGATATCTTTCTAGTAACAATTACACAATAAAGGCTGAGGGCTCCTCTGGAAAAACAAACCAAAAAAGGCCTTAATATACTGCATTCTTATTTACCATTTATGTCTATATTAGTTCAGGGAGTTGAATGTCTACTTAAAATAAGTCTTAAAATGCCTTCTCTGCATGTGGCATGAGCTCCATGCCTGTAGTATGCCCAACAAATATTCTGTGGAAAGAAAAATGCTTTGTTTTTATTGTGAAATCAGGCTTTCTTCCCTCCTATTTCTCTCACATTAACTTGTTTTGTAATATCCAGGGTGGGTTTTCTGATAAGAAACTAGCCACAGGAGCTGTCTTTGGATCCTGCCTCCCTGGGATCTAATAAAACCTCCAAATAAAAGTGTCAATGAAGTTGATGGTGAACTGTCCCAAGACCAGCCATGTAGGATGTAAGAAGCAAGCTGTCTATGAGAATGTAAGAAAAGTACATTCCGCACTTTGACTAGGAGGTTATATTGAGCTAAAGATACAGATGAGGAAAAGACCATAGTATAATTCCTCAAAGATCTCCAGCACAACTGAATTAAAGTTTATAACTACAGACACTTTAAGGTACATTACAAAAATCCTTACACTAACTTCAGCATTCTAAAATAAACTGCAGAAAGATATTCTCTGGGCTTTATATGCTCTCTCTGGATCCCATGGACCTTGATTTAGGGAGATCTAGGATCACAAAAACCAACTCAGGACTGCCTT